TTGGTATAATTCTGACCAAAAATTAGTATAATGCTGGTAAAAAGAGGCAACCTATACTATAATTCAGCCAAATATTTTAATATTTAGATAGTATTAATTATTTATAAAGATTATATTTTTTAATTTGTAAGTTTTTTCAAGCAAATTTGTATAAAAATTATTATAAATATGGGGGTGTCAGTAGAAACCAAGCAAATCGGTAAATTCAAGTTTTTGAGATAACGTGATTTTTGTGTTGTGTTACACAAACTCATATAAACAGTGATTGACAATCTGAACTCACTCGGCCCTGATCAGAAAACATTGTGTAACATAAACAGTTCTACTGACCCCCTATTGTGTAATATGAACGATCAGTAGAAACCAAGCAAATTTATCTAATAAATTTGCTTGGTTTCTACTGACCTCTTATCGTGTAATATGAATGGCTCAAGTAACATATTTGTTTGGTTTCTATTAAAAAAATTTATTTGAAATTTTATTTTGATTGTGCATTTTAAACATAATCTTTAAATTACATTTGTAATTAAAAGTTAAAAACTGACAGATCGTTTCAGATCACAAGCTAAAGTTGTTCTGTTGGCTGGTTGACGTTTTACTACAGATTTAAGAGTATTTGCCAGAAAACTAACCTCAAATCTTTCAACAACAAAAAGGAACGATTTAAACTAAGAAGTAAATATAAGCACTTCGTCTAAAAAAAAAAAAAAAAAGAGCGGAGGTAAAAAAATGAGATTCATTTTATTTATTTTATATCTATTTGATTTGGTTCTTCATAGCTTTTTTTTAGATCAGGTATCTTTAATCATATAGGAGAACCTCTAATATCTTTTAAAAGGTTTACAGTTTACAGTTAATTCAGTGTTCATTATAGTTCTGAGATGTGTTCGCCTTTCAAGTATTTTGAGTACCGTAAATTACCATGCAAGGTATCTGGGTATTTTACATTTCACGTCACAACAAACCTTGATTTATACCTGGGTATTTTGTAAGAAGAACATATTAGTCTATTATGAAAACATAACAAATAAACCTTGAAACATACCTAGTGCTATTTTATAATTCTGTAATTTAACGTGAACAAATTTTTTCCTAAACTATCTAATTCCGTAACTCTGATGAACA